TTATGGACGGCCCCTTATTAGAATTTATTATGAATGAATTATTTTATTATTATAAATTTATAGAAACAATTATTAATAAGAAATATTTAATAAAAAATTATTTTAAACTTCACCTGGCAAATAACCTACTTTTGGAAATTTTATTCGCTAAATGTGAGAAAGGGAAATCATTAAATTGAATAAAACCTTATGAAATATAAAGAAACTTTTAATAACTTTTAGTTTTTCTTATCACTTTCTTCCTTTTTTCTTCACAAATGTTAAAAAATAAGCAATTAAAACTGGCACTTTGCTTATTTTCACGATTTTAAAATGTAAATAACTTCTGCCCAGAAAAATGAAAAATTACGAAAATTGGGCAATAATAATATGCTAATTTTACAATAAATATAAAAAATATTTAAAAAATTCTGTTTGTTCGATGATCCTAATATCTTTAAAATCATTCCTGCAAAATATTATAATTTTTTAAAATTAATCGGCAACGACTTTAGTCGAAATATAATGGAATGGCTCATATGCATATTATATAAATTAATAAAATATAAATTTTATATTAAATTTAAAATTGTAAATTATTAAATAATTTAATTTTTAAAATTTCTACAAGTTATCATTAAAGTAATTTTCATAAATTCATAAATTTTATTGATTTAATGTAATATAAGATAATGAGATTTTCCTCAGGCGCCTCCAAAAAAAATTGATTTGCGGTGTACACTCCAACTCGCAATAGAATCATCTAAAACAATAAATTCAAAGTGCATTTGTTAAAGGAGATTTTTTTGAGGTAACGCTGGGAGAAATTTTTTTTTTCATTTTTCGATTTTTTGTAGCACTTGAAAGCCAAAAAGTCGATTTTCGCTATAAAAAATCGATTAATTTGTTATTGTAAAATTGGTAATTTAAAAAAAAGCTCCCAGCGTTACCTCAAAAAACATCTCCTTTAATATATGCACTTTGATTTTTTTGATTTGGATGATTCTGTTGCTAAAATCCCGAGTTGGATTACAAAAATATTGAAAAAATATCAAATTTCTAAAATTACTGCAAAATGACTGGCCTTTGATGTTCAAAAGCATTTTTCAAAAACTCAAAAACATTAAATTCTCCTTGAATTTTTTTGAATTTAAAAATTTTTAAATTACAACGAATAATATGTACCTTGATTTTTGCTTCTGTAATTAATTAAATTTATTTAATTAATAATTAATTTTTTAGCTGATAATTTACAATTTTCAATAATAATTTAATTTCAGAAGGTTTTAATCTAAAATTTTTGAAAATTTCAATTCATGTGAAGAAATGAATAACACAGCCACACAAAAAAAAAAAAGTTCTGATCTGGGGGTCTCACTATGTAGACTTTATGTTTTTTGGGTCGCTGAAATTCGTTACTCTGGGGTTTTTGGGGTCGCTGCTTACGAATTTGAAGTCAGATTTCAAAAATTCAAAATGGCGGATCCAATATGTCTGTGTCAGCCATATTGGATCCGCCATTTTGAATTTTGAAAAACCGACATCAGATTCGTAATCAGCGACCCCAAAAACCCCAGAGTAACGAATTTCAAGCGAATCCGATGAATTTTTCAAAAACGTGTCCGCCATAGTGGATCCGCCATTTTGAATTTTTGAAATCAGACTTCAAATTCGTAATCAGCGACCCCAAAAACCCCCGAGTAACGAATTTCAAGCGAATCCAATGAACTTTTCAAAAATGAGTCCGCCATATTGGGTTTTTGAGGTTATGTCAATATCCTGATCTGATGGGGTTAAATGGACCTCGGATTCGGATTCAGCGACCCAAAAAACATAAAGTCTACATAGTGAGACCCCCAGATCAGAACTTTTTTTTTTGTGTGGCTGTGTAATAAATAATTAAATATTTATTTAAAATATTATTTAAGTTTTAAATAATTTTATTCAAAATTCTGAGAAAATACGGTTTCTGAAAAATTTTTTACAGATACTTAAATTAAAAAAAAAAAATTTAGAGTGATTAAATTAATTTAAATTGTTTATAATTGAATTGAAGATAATTGAATTAAGTAAGGAATTTAAAGATTTAAAAAATTAATTTTATAAGAATTTTAATTTAATAATTAGTAAAGAATTATTTAACTGAGCGATTATTTTCACAAATAATAAAAATTTTCAGAGGAATTCATTTATTTAAGAAAAATATTAAGGGGTTACACCACTTTGACCCGTTCAAAACATAAGCTTTTTCAACAATTTTTATTGAAGAATAGAAATTTTTTTAGAAAAATTAAATTACAGTAGTGTATTGTACTACTCTTGAACTACAAAAAAATATATATAAATTCCTTTTTTCTTTAAATTGTCGGTTTGACAGATGATATGTTAAAGTGCTTTAAAAATGTATCGCTATACGGTGGACACTGTAACTCGGTCCAGAATTAAGCTAGACCAAAAAGTAAAAATGCTTTAGTTTCTGTAGCTCAAAATCTAGCGAAATACGTATCCGTTTTAAAAAAAATTTATTTTTCGCAAAATGGCATCGATTTGAAGGAAAAAGTCCGTATTTTTGCCTAAATTTCATTATTTAAAGTTGTCTAGAAAATTTAAATATTAATATTTCGAAAAATCCGTACGTATTTCGCTAGATAATTATATCACAAACAAAATAAAAAAAGAACTAAGAGGATCGATTGAAATTTGTGGCAGCTAGAGTGTCCACCGATTTTTAAAATACAGTTTTGAGAAAAACGAGTTTAAAGTTTTCATTACAATGTAAACGTTAGCGCGCGACCCTGCTTGAATAGTTCGAAAATTGTCTTTTTACTTGAGATATCGATATGCAGGAAGCTGTGTAGTCGTTTAATTTAACAAATAATTTAATAAAATAATTAAATTAATTAATTTAAAAAACACATGTACTTATTAACCTGATCAAAATAGTGAAAAGTTTATAGTTAATTAATTCGGAAAATAGCTTCGGGATCAAAGAAAATCTTTTTTCAGCGTGTGTATTTAGTGATCAATTAATTATTGTCCAATTTTCGTAATTTTTCATTTTTCTGGAAAGAAGTTATGTAGATATGAAAATCGTGAAAATAAGCAAAGTGCCACTTTTAATTGCTTGTTCTTTCACATTTGTGAAGAAAAAAAGGAAGAAAGTGAAAAAAAAACTAAAAGTTAATCACAGGTATTTTATATTTGATAAGGTTTTATTCAATCTAATGATTTCTCTTTCTCACATTTAGCGAATGAAATTTCCAAAAATAAGTTATTTGCCAGGTGAACTTTAAAATTATTTTTCATTTAATATTTCTTATTATTAATTGTTTCTACCAATTTATAATAATAAACTAAGTCATTCTTAATAAATTCTAATAATTTTTTTTACGTTTTCATAGTAAATTATGTATTTTCTTTAATATTTTCTAATAGATGAAAAAGTGACAGTTTTTACGACCTCATATACTTTAGATGCTTATTTTGCAATAAATATTAAAAATATTTTAAAAATTCTTTTTGTTCAGTGATCCTAATATCTTTATAATCATTTCTGCAAAATATTATAATTTTTTTAAATTAGTCTGCAACGACTTTAGTCGAAATATAATGAAATGACTCAAAAATAATCCACTTTCTTTTTGAAGAATTTTTTATTAAAAAAATTTTGAAAATAATTCAATTATTTTCAGGAATTCAATTAAAATTGTATTAAAAATAACAGAAATCCTGCGAAGAATTATATTGTTTATAAAGATAATTGAATTCTTGTACCGAATTTTATTAATATATTTTTTTTAAATAAATGAATTCCTCTGAAAATTTTTATTATTTGTGAAAATAATCTCTCAGTTAAATTCAATTCTTTACTAATTATTAAATTAAAATTCTTATAAAATTCATTTTTTTAAATCTTTAAGTTCCTTACTTAATTCAATTATCTTCAATTCAATTATAAAAATTTAAATTAATTTAATCACTCTAAATTTTTTTTTTTGAATTTAAGTATCTGTAAAAAATTTTTCAGAAACCGAATTTTCTCAGAATTTTGAATAAAATTATTTAAAACTTAAATAATATTTTAAATAAATATTTAATTATTTATTATTCATTTCTTCACATGAATTGAAATTTTCAAAAATTTTAGTTTAAAACCTTCTGAAATTAAATTATTATTGAAAATTGTAAATTATCAGCTAAAAAATTAATTATTAATTAAATAAATTTAATTAATTACAGAAACAAAAATCAAGGTACATATTATTCGTTGTAATTTAAAAATTTTTAAATTCAAAAAAATTCAAGGAGAATTTAATGTTTTTGAGTTTTTGAAAAATGCTTTTGAACATCAAAGGCCAGTCATTTTGCAGTAATTTTAGAAATTTGATATTTTTTCAATATTTTTGTAATCCAACTCGGGATTTTAGCAAAAAGTAATGTTATAAATTTTTATGTTTTTCTTTTATTTATATATGCCAAATAATTTTATTTTTAAATACATACTTTAATTTCTCTTTATGTAGAAACATTTACTTTTATTTCCCGTTCACTTAAATAAGTTGTAATGTTTGAAAAGTTCATTGAATTTTTTTGAAAAAAATGTATTTGTTTTGTGTGAAATTGAAATATAAAACTGAAAAATAAAAATTCTAATTAAATCTGTAATATTATTGATACAATATCCAAACTTGAGTCAAAAGTTGTGTTACCTAATTAAACTTATATTTTAAATCACTGGTAAAACAGTTCAAAGTTCACTCAAAACTGATTTTTCGTAAACAATGTAGATAGTGAGTTTTTTCATAAGTACGATAGCATTACTCTAATATAAACCAAATTGCATTCATGAATAGAAAGGTTGTATATATAATATTAATATTATAACAATAAAAAATATTTTGCTTTATTTTCTAAAAAATAAACTTCTGAATAATTGAGAATTGTAATTAAATTAAATCATTAAATTATACCAAATTGAGTTAAGTTTCTATAGAAATATATGTACTAATATTTTTACGTACATTTCTAATTTGAAAATTCTGTCCGTAGATAACAAATATTTCTTCTTTTGTTTGAATTGAACTACATGAGTCATAAGTATCTCTGTAAAAAATATGTGAAGCATTATTCCACACAATTAATAATTCTTTGAAATTTTCTAAGTCAACAGACTTTTTTACAATATAATTATAATCTTATGCACATTAAAAGTAAAAATATGAAAAATTAAAAAAGATACACTAAAAAAAATAAAATTGACAAAATATACCAATATTTTTCATAATTATCAGGACCATACCAAATATTTTTTACTTCTAATTGAAATTAAAAAGATTTATTAAAATAAAAAATTTAATAAAAATAATTTTATTTTATAAATGAATGAAATCATCATAAATGTTTTGATTTTCTCTTTCTTTTGTTTTGCAAACCTGATACATACATTCTACACCTCTTACACGTATCTTATATCCTTGCTCCTTTTTAGGGATTTCCCCGAATCGTATATTGTTTTTCTTTCTTATCGGGTTGAATCTGAACAATAGTCGACGTTTTAAAAGCTATGTGAAATACTATTTGAAGAAAAACTTTAAAATCACTTTGATTGTAAATGAATACGTATTGAGTAAGTACTAACGATGTATTCTGATGTTTTGAAACTACATAGAAACCTTTGTGGAATGAGGAATTTTATCAACTCTCGCGTATCTCGCTCGACGTCTAGTGGTCTGCTTGCCCAGGGTTGAGTAGCAAGAATATTAACCTTGTAAAACAACGTCTGCAATAGGCAGTCCCACGGTGGTAGAATAGTGCAACAGTCTTAACCAATCAGATGACTTGATTTTTTTAAACATTCTTTCTGATTGGTCAAATCTACTCCACTGTTCTACCATACCATATAACTTTTAGGGTACGGTCACACGACTTTTGGAAAAAGAGACGCATGCATATCCCCTAATCGCCAAGTCGACGAATGATGAAATAGTCGAATGCCAAGTAATCGAATGGACAAAACGTCGAATGCTAAAAACATCGAAGGGACCATCCATAAACCACGTAGCTCCGATTTTTGAACTTTTCGACCCCTCCCCACTCCCACGTAGCTTAAAGGCGCTCTCACAGCTAGTAGGCAGCATACAAATTTGAATTTACTATCTCTTTCACTCTAATTGATTTTCTCTCTTACTCCAATTACTGCCTGCGCAGGCAGGCAGAGCTGTGAGAGCTCCATAACGTAGCATATTACCGAACCCCCTCCTCCCTACCTAATGGAACGTAGCTTTTTTCTTTTTTTGAATATTAAAATCTCTTTTCTAAAAATAATCAATAAAATCGTATTGAAACATAGTAAACAATATTAAATGTTTTTAAATCACAGTTTATTTTTTTTTTACAAGCAAGAGTTTGATACAAGATTAATTCTTAATTTTAATCAATATATGTGACCTGGTCTATGAAAAGGGACCTTACGTGTCAAAAAATCATGTTTTTACTTTTTTGTTGATTCGGATAGGGTTTGAAACACTCATTAAGATGGTGAAAACCAAAAAGTCATAGGTTGATTAGCAGTTTTTAAAAAAAAATTTTAAAGTCAAAAGAAACAAGAGTAAAAATACGAAAAAACTGATTTATTGTTATTATACAAATTAAAATAACAAAGACGATAATTTTTTATTATTTAGAAAAGTTGACAGTTTCGTTGACAACTGTCAACAGTTGAAATTCAAATTTGATATCATATTCGTAATCAGCGACCTCAAAAACGTTATTACTGTCTTTTTTACAAAAAACGATTACTTTTTAGAGAAGTTGACAGCTGTCAACTGTCAAATTGTCAATTTAACATGATATTCGTAATCAGCGGTCTCGAAAACCCTTACAAACATGTGTCACTTATTTATACTTATTGTTGCTAGTTAGAAAACTGAGATAATTTTTTCTATGTTTGGGGAGTTTGTTATTAATTTATATAAACAATTATTTAAAAAAAATTTTTATTACTTGTATGTTTTTTATTTTGATACTGTGATCCACGGTGAAGAAAATAAGCCTAAATTGATTAAAAAATATTAATATTTAAAAAAGTTACAAGGGTTTTTCTAAGTTAAACTTTAACTTTATATATATATATATATATATTTTTTTTTTTATCAATATAATTGGACGTCCACATGAAAAGGGCCTATATTGTCGGTTCTAGTTTTCGAGATAATCGCAATTTAGTAATTTTGGAGCAAAATCTTAATTTTTAAAAATTTTTTATTATCAATCTACATGTTTTGACAAGTCGAATCATGCGGTTTTCATTAATTTATGGATAATTTTACTGTTTGATTTCATTGGTTCTTTAGAAAAATGAAAAGGGCCCATTTTGGCGGTCATTTGCAAAAGTAATCCGTATTTTAAAAATGGAGGTGTGGAAAAATTTAAAACCTCTTGATTTTTCATCTTTAACTTTAAAGTGTCCTGGACTGTAAACAATTCTTATCTGAATAAATTCCCAGAAGAACCAGAGATATTGATGTTAGAGTCTTTTTTTCGTAATTGTCGAAATGAAATTTTGGATATTATGTTAATTTTTTCATAATAGAAACTGTCAAAAATTTTTAAATAAGTTTAATATCCATTCTTTTTCTTCAAATGACACAATAAAATTGTACCTAATCATTAATCTTGTATTAAAATGGTTCTTTAATAGAAAAAATGTCCTTTTTAGAAAAAAAAGTTTTTCGTATTTTCAAAATTAAGAGGGGGGGGGATGGTTTTAAAAATTTAAAACCTGTTGGTTTTTTATCTTCAAGGTAACCGTTTTTTTCGAAATGAGGTTTTTGGCGTTCTAAACTTTTAAATTCCGTAACTCAGCGAATTTTTAACCAAAAAAGTTCTAAGACCACTAAAAATTTTCCAAATTTTGCCAGGAATACGCCCATATAGATAACTCCACACGGAAAAAGTATCGGCACGTTATATGTACAGGTTGTGTCAAATTTTCTTCTACATTTATTTTGCACGCCATCTGTGTCATTTTAGCGTATCTGACGTCCATTATGTACGTCTGATATCTCGAAATGGCACCTCAGACGTGAAAAATGAAATGTACTGCTGTTGACACTGTCCTCGGCGCTTCTAAAGTAGAGTCTCCAATGAGCACGTCGCGTCCACGTCCACGTCGATCGTGCTCATTGTAGACTCTACTTAATGTCCCGGAATTTTTTCCGTGCAATAGTGCCAAAATGGGCCCTTTTCCTGTGGACGCCCACATACATCTCTCGAATTCACTGATCTCTATATATAACTGGATGGGCGACTGTATCTAAAACTGCAAAATATTAGAAGACCGGAAACGCCACATTTTAGATGCCCACTTTTACACAAATGGCGGAAATTTTTAAATATAAAAGTTAGATTGATATACGTTTTGCTGTATAGAAAAGTACTTAACTGATTAGCAAATTTTTTAAATTTAATAATTAATTAACCGTCAATTACTTTCTTAATTAAATAATTTATTATTCACTTATTTTATTTTAAAAACTGATTAATTAATAAAGTAACAGAACTTTTAGTATTCAAACATTATATAAACTCAAATATTATTGAAATAATATTTTTATTTTTAAATAATAATTGATTAAAAACAATATTTTTTTAATTTGGTAAGGAAACTAAAATTATTCAGCATTACACTATTATGTGTTTAACAATACGCAAAAGTGTGTAAAATATTCTACGCAAAAAGGAAACAAAATATTACCTAAAAATATACACTTCAATAATATGTATTTACTGTTTAAATATGTACTTTCATGTGAAAAGAAACACCCTTTGCTTCTTTTTTTCCACAATATAAACAAATTAACACCTTGTCTGTGTTTTATATCAAAAAAGTTAAATTAAAATTATTAAAGCACTTGAGATGTCAAAACATTGGAAACCTTGGAAACACACACACACACTATATCAAAAGCACACTCACACGGCAACTCACACAATCAAAGTCGCTCTACGCTGTTACACCGGCATCTAAAGCGTGGCGCGTAGAGGGTTTCAATTATTTTCACACCGGAAGCCACTTTTCTACAGCAATCGCCCATCCAGTTAATATAGAGATCAGTGCTCGAATTGACTTTCGAGCTGCCCGCGGAATTTCAAAAAAATGTATGTCAAATAAAAATACAAAACTATCACTGTAAAAAAATCTGGTGTAAAATAACACGAAACTTGTAATTTCACACATCAAAATTATAGGTTGTACGTAGTAAATTTATTTCGTTCCAAAAGTAGTTTTACTATTTTTAATAATTTTACATTATATGACTATGTAATTTAATAGTTTTGTGTAAATTTACTACGTCCGACGTAGGAAAATTTGATCACTATGTCCGACGTGGTATTTTTACATTGCGTGTATTTCTACACTTTGACGTAATATTACGTCGCACGATCTGTACAATTACATGGCGAATGTAATTTTCTTATTCCTTTAAGATTTTCAAAAAATTTTCAAGTTTTTATAAATAACTCTAAAAAAGTGTATATAATGTACATTTATAGAAAGTATATGCTAATTTATAAGTAAATAATAATATAACAAAAAGTTTTGGGCTATATTTCATAAATACAAAAAGTTACGACTGAAAATATTATTTCAAAAAATATTTGCAGGTTATGTAGATTACAGTCGGCGTGTAAAAATACCACGTCGGACATAGTGACCAAACTTTCCAACGTCGGACATAGTAAATTTACAGCAGATTTTTTTACAGTGTGTCTATATAAAGAGCAACTGTAAAATAGTAAAATTCAATTACCAATATTATCAATAAATCAGAATAAACTGTTAAATAATTTTTATTAATTAATTATATTTCAATTTAGTCATAATAGGTTATGTGAATTAATAAAAATTAACATTATTAAGTGAATTAATAATAAATTAAGTCTTAACTTTACAATTTGGAATGTTTCATAAACTATAATACGAATACAAATTAATAATAATTATTATTATATCTGCATTTAAAATGAATTTAGTATTTAATATTAATTTAATTTAACATTATAATTTATAATAATAATGAATTATTAATGCAATATTGAAATTTTTATAAATTTTAAATTTAAATTATTAATAATCATTACAGTAAGAAAATTTTCTATTAATGATTAATAATAATTTAAATATAACTGTATTTCAATTATAATGCAAATACTTCTCATAATAAGTACTGACTGGTATAGTAAATTACTAATATTATGAAACAAAATTTATTATTAATTAACTATATTAAATAATTACAAGTAAATATATATATATTAAATTAATATATTATAAATATACATTAAATAAATATATTAAATAATGTTAAAAGAATGGTCCGAATGTTTTGATTTATTTACCTACTTTTGCTGTATAATTAATTCAATAATTATACCAATTTGAAAAATGAGAACTTTTGTTAAGTTAGAAGAACAATTTTTATAATAGAATAATGTATTCTGAAATGTAAAAAATAAATTTGAAAGATTTTATATGTATATATAAATTTTCATGAGACTTTACCAAAATTAGAAAGATGTACCAAAATTTTTATAGGTTATGTGTTCACACATTTCAGAAATGGTCAGGAATTTAAGAAATGGTCACAGCTTCGAAAATGGTGGGAGTAAAGTGGGAGGAGCTTGGAAAGTATTTGGTTAGGAATGGTGAGAAACGTTCGAAAACGTCAGAAGTGGTGAGACTGTTCAGGA